CGCCAGCGCAGCCAAGCACCCTGGCCCCCAACCTGCCGCCACAGGCCAGCAAGATTGTGATGGGGGAGCAGGAGCAGATCGTGGTGTACAACCCTGCCGCTCTCCGCCGGCCGGCCCTGGCCAAATTCGTGCTGGGCTCCTTCGAGGACAACTCCTCTGACGATGAACTGGTGGCCGCGGCCTTCAGGGTGGGCAGCCGGCGCAGCAGCCTGGCCGGTGTTGGGGGGGCTGGTGCCGAGCCCCCCACCATGACCGCCCCGCTGGAGCCTGCCACCGACATAAGGTATGGTGTGTGGGGTCGGGAGCAGCGGTGGTACAAAGATGCCCCCATTTGGGGTGGGCAGATGCTTTTCGTGGGTGCATTTCTCAGAGCCCCTGTTGCTAAAATTGGGGTGCGTGTGCTTCTCAGAGCCCCAAATCAATACCCCAGTCCTGCCTTCTTTGATGTGGTGCTGCATGAAAGACCCTGATAATAAGGTTCATGGCAGAACCCCAGGAAGAGCAGACGTGTCCGAGTGCTCTGTGTGACAGCAGTGCCACATGCACGAGTGCAGCAAGGACTGGGGCAGGGGTTGCCCCGTTACAGTGATTTTGGATGTCAAAGAACAGGGTGGAAAGTGCTTTTAGTGTGCATGGCGTTCCTTCAAACGCAATCCCCAGCGCTACAACCAAATTGCCCAATTGCTCCCGTTTTCTCACAGCTTCCTCTCTCATTTTGCTGCTTCTCTCTGTCCCTGCACCATCTCCCGGTGCCGGGAAAGGCCGTGCCGACTGCAGCTGTGGTTGACACAGGATGGGAGCGCATCGGGGAGCGGGGATTTTCTTGTGTGGCGAGACGAGGTTGGGGTCGGTTGCGGTGGTAAGCGTGCGGATGGGCAGCAGCGGGCGCTTCTGATGTTTGCCCTGCGCTCGCTGTCCTTCCGGGTGCACGTTTTGTGCACGAGCATTGCTGGGGGCATTTCATGGGATGTAAACCTGCAAGCTGAGCTGAGCCTTTTGACAGGGCACCTGCATGTGCTCGTGCGCATGCACTTGCACTTGCACATGCACTTGTGCATGCAAATGTTGCCCTGTGCCCTCGGGGCTGGATCCCACAAGGACCCGCTCCTGCGGCCAAGTTCACTTTGCTTCTGCTATGGGGGGGATGCTAACACCCTCCCGGTATTATGCGTGGGGAAACACAGCATCCCGGGAGGAGTGGGGTACGTGGGGTGCTCCTGTGCCGCTCCCGCCCTTCCTCTGCCCTTGCAACTATTGCAGATAAATTATTCACAGCAGAAAAGTTGCTCTTTGGTGGTTTTATGATGAGTTGATGAAAAGCGGATGAGCTTTGCTCCGCGGGTAGCTTCGCAGCGACTTTTACCCAGCGCTGGTGCTGGTGGGGCCGTGGGGCAGCTCACTGCTGCCTACTGGCTTGTGCAGAGCGGCTTCCCGTGCGAGCACAGCTGACGGTCATTATAAATAACTGGAAACAAAGCGCTGCTGCCCAGATCCTCCTGGCTGCTCCGCTCCCCGTTAAAAATAAAAGACCTTTGGCTGCAGGGACGTGTTATGAAACTTGACAGCCTAACCGTGTCTTCTTGCCTAGCTGGGGTTTTGGGCGGTTTCACAGACAGTGCTGCCGGGGGGGTATCGCTGCTGTTCATCTGCGCTTTAATATGGGAGGAATTTCCTTATGTCGCCACCCGAGTCATGTTGTAGACGTGGTTGGTGCAGCTTGCAGGATGGGACGGGTGCAGTGGCACAGGCTTTGCGGTGGGGTTTGGGGCTGCGGGAGGGAAGCAGGCAGCGCGGCCGGCCCTGGCAGAGCAGCAGAGCTGCCAAGCAGCGCAGGGGATGCGCCGGAGTGTGATAAACCTGGCGCTGCTCGATGCAGTGCTCCAGCTACTTGGAAAACACCCGGAGTGCATGGAGAGATCAGGACGTTTCCCAACCTCCCAGGGGGTTTTGACACATTTCCCCTTAAAATAAATGTGCCAAGTGCCGCTCATGTGCAATCAGCTCATTCCGGGGGGGCTGGTCCTTCTTCCTTTGCTTATTTATAGCGCATCCATGGAATAACAATCAACAGTTCAAAATCTGTCTGAGTTATGAGGTGGGAATGTGAACCTGCTAATTAAAACAGAAAGTTGCTTAAAAGTCTGGGCAGAGCTGTGGGAAGGCACGTGCCTGGCTGCCAGGGAGGTCCCTGCCTGCCCACCACGTGCTGCCGGCATTGCCAGACCTTCCTGTGCCGGCAGGAGGTGGGGGGCGCGAGGGCTGCCTTACGTCGCTGCTGGGGCCGGAGCCCTGCGGAGGGGCTGGTCCGGCCGTCCTGCTGCCAGCGCAGCCCACTTCGACCTGCCTGCTTCGGGGATGCGCGATGGGCTGTGAAACAGGGAATAGACTCTGGAGGGCATGGAAACACCTTCAGTGGAAAACCATGGTGGGGGTGAGTCTGGCTGGCAGCGTGGTGAGCCTGGGAAGGTGTTTTGGGGTCCTGGAGCAGGCAGCGCGGGCAGGATGGGGTCTGATCTGGCAAGGAGCTGCGGCTGCTGTCGTTGCAGGCTGTGCGAGAGCGAATTCCCAAGGCAGCTTCTGAGAGCAGCGCATCACACTCTTTGCAAGGTTTCTCGCAGAGCACTGCCTACTCTTTGCTCCCCCTGTGGTAACTCTAGCACAGCTCGGGGTGGTCTTGTAGGGGCATCTCCGGCTGCACCCCTCAGATTCCTGGGGCTTGTGCCATGGGGTTTGGAGGCAGCAATCCTGCTCGCCTTGCACCGACGCCTGTGAAGGGATGCTCTGTGCCATCCCACGTACCCGTTGTTTTTCCTGCCACCCACACCACCCAGCCGGGCTGCTCCGGGTGTCCTCCAGGGATGTGGGGGATAGATACAGCTCTGCAACGGGGTTTGGTGTGAACTGGGAGCTGTGGGGGCTTTGCAACAGACCTCGGTTGCTGCAAAGGGGCATTTGTGCATGTAACATCCCTGGCAGTGGGAGGGAGGGTCTGCGCTTGGTGCTGCATTTCGGCCCCCTGGGAGTGTCCCCATTCCTCGTCCCTTGGAGCAGAGTGTGGCGCGTTTCCAGCTGCAGCCGGGCTGGCAGCTGTTAGCAGTGCAGAAGTGGGCATGGCCGTGCTGTGGTGGTAGCAGTGCTCTGGACACAAGCATGCTTCCAAAAACCCTGAGCAGCTCTCTGCTCCCTGAAATGCAAACCCCGGGGCTTTTGTCCGGTGCAATGGGGACTCAGTCCAGCCCCTGTGGCTGCAAATCTGCTTGTCGCAGTGTTTGAATCAATGAGGACCCCCAGCTGCTGGGGGGGGTGTTTTAATTGCAAAACATGCTCTGTTCACCCTGAATTGCTTGCCCCATGTAAGTCAGCGGAAAACAGTTTTCCTCTGCAGTGTTGCAGTGGGTGTTAATTGTCCCTGGAGAGATACCAGTGCGCGACAGGGAGCTGGTAGCAAGGAAAGCAAATCCCAATGTTCCCTGTGTGTGTCAGCAGGGTGAAGGGTTTTATTGCTTTCCTCGGAAGAAACAGTGGAGGGAGCAAAGTCTGGTCTCCGCTGCTGCAGGCTGCCTGGCTCTCTGCAAGATCTGACCCCCCGGGGAAGCCCCAGCCGGCAGCAGCCCCCTTGTCGCGCCTGGTGAAGGTTCGCTCGCGTGGCTGCGAGCTCACTGACGGCCATCGCGTCCCGCTGCAGGCCTAGCATGTCCGGGTTGCACCTGGCAAAGAAGGGCCGCGAGCACAGGAAGATGGATCTGCAACGGGACTTCACCGTCGCCTCGCCGGCAGAGTTCGTCACCCGCTTCG